CCAATGTCACATGAAGGAGTAAATACTAGGGGGATGTCTACTACACTAAAGTGGATTGTTTATTGTGTTTTGTAAATAACCTACGGGAAGTTAATTTTAAATGATTAGTTTTGGCGGGAATAGGCGCATAGCCTTCCGCTTTTATATCGGGGTTCAAGGTTATTTACACTCGTGAATCTTTAAAACAAAACCCCGGCACTGGATATAGACTTTTTGAGGGTGTTTAACTGTGATCGGGAATTCGAGAATCTAATACCTTTTATGACTCTGTGTGAGAAGAAACAATAAGAATATTTATTTGAAATGTAGGATTTAGTAAATACACTTTGAATGAATTGACTCACCTGGTTTATTCTTCAATTGTTAGGCATATAGGACAACTAAATATATAAATGACTTTTCACTCCTGTATAACAAACAAATTTATTTTAACAATTGATAATAAATGAATATATATAAGTGAACGGTCGGCTTGATAATCTTGGTCTTCAATGTAGTAAGCCTCTCTTCCCAGATGACGTCTTCTTGTGTTGGTGTCCAGGCCTCAAGTGTTTGGCGTCGTCACTAGCGGATCCAGGATTTAATTTTGGGGGGGGGGGCTTCAGCCCGAAACCTTTTTTTTCCATAAAAATAACGATAATTACTTTGGAAAAACAGAAAGAAACTAACTACCTATATGAAACGGTGTTTAAGTTATTCCTTAAGTACTTTTAAATGTAATTACACGAACAATAATACTTTAAGAGGTATTTTTTAAATTTTTCCCCCATAAAACATGGTTATATTTTTCCATTTTGGGAGGAGCTTCAGCCCGAAAGCCCCCCCCCCCCTCCCCCCCCGTAGATCCGCCCGTGGGCGTCGTCCTCGCCATCTGTTGCCAGCTACCTGATCGGACCTTTTCTTCTTTTCGATTCTTTATCGATGTGAGATTTTCCAATGAGCAATTTGTCCACGGCACAATTGAGTACAATTCACAATGCTACCTCACATTCCTATATATTATATATTCCTTCTCATTCCCTCACACAATGTCAACTAATGGTCTAGATACAGGGGGATGTCTACTACAGTTTGTAATATGTCAACAACTATATCTGTAAACTCTTGTTGAAACTAGCTTAGTATTGTGTTTGCTGTTGGAATGTGAATATGGAAGAAAATATCATTCATTTTCGGCATATTTTGATGCATTATTTTAAAAAAGATAAGCGTTCTGCAGAAGCTCATAGAAGTGTTTATGGGGTTGATGCCTTAACCGAACGCACCTATCAAAATTGGTTTGCCAAATTTCATTTAAAAAATTTGATACATCAAAGGTGCTCAACAGTCCGGTCGCCCACATGAAATTGAAATGAGTAAGGTTAAGACCATTGTTGATCAAATTCCCACTTTTTGATGTTTATTCCACGCTGAAGCACGATGGCGTGGATTGAACCGTTATCAGCTGGGACAGGTGGGCTGACGAGAGGATCGGAAAGGTGTACAAAAGGATGTAACAACACGTGTGGATATTGGCCGCTGCTTCGGAACAGGTGCTTCTCAATCAAGGCCTTATCGATCGCAGATATCCCCGTCCGATCCACTGCTGTCTTGATCAGGGTCCGCGGGAGAGATGATATGCCACGATCATCCGGGACGGGATCAACAGTTTCCGCAATCTTCAATAGGGGATCATTATTTATAACAATCGATGTTGAGATGTTCGGAATATGCATTTAGACAGTAGGCAAATTATGGGTAAGACTATAATCCAAATTAAATAAAAAAAAGATGTCTTCCGATATATATTTTTTGTTTTCACTTACCTATATATGAAATATATAGTAAGGGAAAGTATAGCGATCGTGAAAATCTAGTTTTAAACGCAAATATATGTTTTCAGGTCCCTTGAGTCGAAATAACCAAGTCCCGCAAAATGGTCTCTGTGTGTGTGTGTGTGTGTGTGTGTTAACAATCTAGCTCAAAAACAAAAAGTCGAACAAAAGTGAATTTGCATATTTAAGGTTTTTATATGCTAAGGATGTTACAGAAAATTTTTATCAAAATCGGATAATCGGAAGTGGCACTTTATATGATGGATTAAAAACATTTTTAAAGTTTAAAGCCGAAAACGGCTCTAACGATTTTGATTAAATTTAAATATATCATTCTAAAATTAAGCAATTTTAAATAAAATATAGGTTTTATTCTGGTTGATGTTTTCTAGCGGGGGTTAAGTGTAATTATTCATTCCAATTAGTGAACTCAAGAGAGTCAGTTATTATTGCAATGTTTTGGGAGTTTATTGTCATAGCAAATTGGATGGCTGAGTTTATTAATTGAAGTTCGGCTTTATACATACTCTACAGGTTTTGTAGTTTTATTTTATGAGTCGAATTATGGGTGACAAAAGAAGACGCTATGGATTCGTCAGATTTAAATCCATCAGTATGGATCAAATATGGTTCTGATATCTGTTTTAAGGATATGTGAAAATTTGGTTTTATACTCAGTAGGAGTTAATATTTTGTAACCGTGTTAATCCTAGGATTATTTTATGCGGTTTGTTAATCTAAGATCATGGATTTCATTTTTGATTAAAGGTATTCCTTTGAGGAATACAGTAGCTGAACCAATTCTCTCTGATAACGGGAGCGTTGATTTCTGTAATTTTTTTCAAAAGCTTTGAAAAATACGAAAAATGTACTTAGTGACTTATTTGAAATTAACTGACCATATAAAATTAACCAAAACTCCATTGAACACCAAAATCTTACTATCCTCATTCTTTTAGATTTTTTGAAAGCGTTTGACACTGTTGACCATAACATCCTCCTGACTTAAAAAAAAAAAAAAAAACATCCTCCTGACTAAATTGTATAATATTCCTCTATCCAACAGTGCCCAGCGTTGGTTCAAATCCTTCCTATCAAATCGGTCCCAGTACGACCCTTCCCCTCTCCTGTGGTGTCCCTCAAGGTTCCTCTCTATCTCCTACTCTGTTTGCTATTTACATCAATGACCTTCCCCTCATGATCCATCACTCCCAATACCATATCTACGCAGATGATTTCCAAATATCCCTTCCCACCCTCCGACCTATCATCTGCCACAAAAAAACTTCAAGAAGACTTGGATAGGATTTGTGACTGGGCGAGAGCTAACAAGTTGTAGTTGAATGCGGAAAAGACGAAGGCAATCTTAATAGGCTCCAATCACCTCCTTAAAACTGTTCCTAACTTTCCAATCCTGTTCCTACACGATAATCCCATCAAATTTTACCCCACCGTCAAAAACCTTGGAATAACCTTCGATCAAACCCTTTCCTGGAAAAACCACGTATCCAATATTTCCCGCCGTACCATTTCCACTCTAAAACTTCTAAATTATTATCGTCACCTATTTCCATTTGAAACCCGTAGGCTCCTAGTCACTTCCTTAATTTTCCCCCACTTTGACTATTGCTGTACACTATATGAGGGGCGTCTCGGGGGATCTCGAGGCGAAACTAAAACGCTTGATAAATTGCTTTGTACGATTCATCATCGGAATACCAAGAGACGCCTCTGTTTCCCATTTTTATGCAGAGTTGAAGTGGCTTTATCCTTCCTGCCGTCGCAAGTATTTCCTGGCATCCTGCCTCTTTCAAGTCATCCAATCACACCGTCCTTCATACATCTCTGAACTCCTGTAATTCAAATCCTCTGTTCTTTCTCGCAACACTCGCTCCAGGTCTTCTGATTTATACACAAGGGCCCACCGAACCGCTGCTTTCGACAGATCTTTCATTATCCGATCCTCATCCCTTTGGAACTCCATCCCTTCTCACATTCTTCAATCCAATACCCTTTCTACCTTTAAATCCCGCCTCTTCATTCATTACTTATCCATCCATTCTTCATGAAACTGTAAATAGATACTAATGTAAATATGTATATAAATTATTAGTTCCTTCTTGATTATTTTTACTTCATCCTTTTTTTTTTTTCAATTTTTTATTTTTTATTATTAACTGATCAAATTAGAAAGCTTTTTTTTTTTTTTATTTCTTTATGACATTTACAACTGTATTACATAAATACATCAAGTAAATTTGGACATAATTGATATAATGACATGAATACACTTGCTGAGTAACTACCCAATGGTAGCACTCTAATGATATGACTACATTAGGAGATCACGAGGCCATCTTCTTTTCAGACGCCTCGGAGGGTTATCAGGAATTGAAGAGGAAGCAATGTTAGAAACAAGAGGGTTGGGATGATTCTGAAGTTTATTGTGGAAGGATAGGTATCTGGATTGGGCCAGATCTGAAACATAAGGAACATTAAGGTCTTTATGGATAATTTTATTAGTGACAAAGTAAGGAGCATTGAGGATTTTACGAAGGATTTTGGATTGTAAGGATTGGATGCGAGAGGAATTCGATGGTTTAGTGGAGCCCCATAGCTCAACTCCGTAAGTCCAAATAGGTCTTATTATAGTCAAGTATATGAGTCTTTTGTAATTAATGGGAAGTTTAGAGCGTTTGTCTAGTAAGTGCTGAAGTAATCGGAAACGGCGAGCGATTTCTTGTCGTTTCAGTCTAGTATGAGGATTCCAAGTTAGTCGTTTGTCCAGGTGGAGTCCTAGGTATCGGATTTGCTCAACAGGGATAAGTGGAGTATTGTTAAAGGAAACTGTAGGACAGGAAGTCGTTGGTTTACGAAAATTAGAAAGTAACTTATAATTTTTCATTTGTTTTACTATGACTGTTTAATTACTCTGTATTTTTATTTATGTATCTCTAAGGCTCCTTAGCCCATATTTATGTATTTCTGTATTACTCTAAAAGGACCCGTCCCAGAATAAATAAAGTGTTATTATTATTATTATTATTTGAATATGGCAAATAGAACTGAGGAGTATGTAATGGACTAAGAGTTGGTAGAGATGTTTGATATTTTAGCCTAGAGAATAGGAGAGACTGAAGAGGAGTTGTATTAATCTCAACCGAGGGAGAAGTTGAGGTATGAGCTATGTCGGCGCACTCCGGCTGCCAACCATTCCACTCAAACTCCCTTCAACTCCCTCCCCACAATCCTCATGTTTCTACAGCCATTAATATTCATGAAATTGTTTTAGCTATTCGGCTAGTTGGTTGTGAAAGTCGAAAGGATAAAGCAACAAGATATATATGTATATATTGCATATATTTATAAATGGAGTATAAGAAAAAACTTTTTTTTTTTAAATTTCTTTATTGAGTATTACAAGAATCTCTCTCTTGGACATTGGTTATAGTGAGGTAGGATGACATTCACACTATATGGTGTTTAGTCCAATAATTGGAATCACCTTTTATTTATTTTTCTTTGTCACTAGGAAGGTAATGTTACTTTAGGTGTATAATTGTTTGGAAATAATAAACCATTGTGAAATAATTTGCAGGGTTTTTGTTATTTAACCATAGGAAAGTTCCGATAAGACTAATATAACTGTTTTCTCCTGTTGGTAGCTGTTACTTCGACTAGAACATTGGACCCATCAATCACTCGAGTCATTATTAAATTATACACGATGATTGATTTCTAATTAGTCTAGTCGAGGAACGGTGATTGTAGTCACATTTATCAATCAATCAGGATTGACGGTTCCTGACTTCTAATTGCTCTTCGGCCACTGTCCGGTTTTATTATTTATTAAATTATTTCCATGTAAAAAAAAACTATTTATTAATGTTTGTTTTTGGCTTGATTTTGAAGGAAGAGATACTTGGTGTATATTTTTCCTTTTTCTGGAACAGAGGTGCCTCTCCCCCCCTCTTCCTCCCCCCCTCTGAAGATCGATGGACCATGCACTATCCTCCATCCCCTTCCATAAAATTTTATTGCTCTCTTGTTCTTAAAAACAGTCAGCGAAACATGATTGCACTTATCATGTTTTCTTTTTGTAATCTTTTCACTCCGAAAATTTATAACTCCATCGAAATGTGCCCCTCCCCCTTGTAATAAGGGTCGTCTTAACGTCCATATACGCGAGCTTAAATAGACAACCATGTGAAAACCTCACGTATGTAACCTAACATACGTTTTATTAATAAATAATCAAAATAAAAACATTATTGATGTATACAATTTAGACGAACAGACTATAAAGGGGACCCTACACGGTCAATCGGAATTGCACTAATGACGTTCCGAATTGTCGTGTAAGGTAGTGAATGAAGTACTGATGGTGGTGCGCTGCGGATTTCCGAACATCCGTAAATCAAAGGTTCATTCACGATAAGTGGAGGGGGGACTGGGGTAAAAGTAGTGGGGGGGCTAACCATACTGCTGGATAGGTTAGGTTACCTAGGCCTCACAACCATTATAAATTTCTAATTTTCATTATATGTAAATAGTTAAATAATTTTTCATATCCCTTGTCTATAATTTTAAACCATATTCAACTATTTCTTTTAAATAGTCAAGTGGGCAACAAATTAAAAAAAAAAAAATGAGGTAACTTCACAATTTACTTTAGGAAAAAAAAAAAACTTTATCGTTGTGTATATTTATCAGTTCTTTTCCCATTTTCCTCAACAAATTTATTATTTTCGCAATACCTTTCCTTAATTTTTGTAAGTAGTAGACTTATATTTTACTAACTTTTGTCAAAACGATTTTCTATGAGACTAACCTTACTACTAGATAGGTTAGTTTACCTAGGTCTTGTTATTAAGTAAATAATTTCATAAAAGTAAATAGGTGTTTATATCCCTAGTCTATATTATTATTAACCATTTTCAACTATTTTTTCTTTAAATAGTCAAGTAGGCAATAAATTGGAGAGAAAAAAAAGTGGAAACTTCACAATTTACTTATAGAAAAAAAATCTTTAACTGTTGCGTTTATTTGCCATTAATTTTTCCATTTTTCTTAACAAATTGATTATTTTCGCAATACGTTTCCTAGATTTTTGTATGTAATTGACTTATATTTTTCTAACTTTCTAACTATACGATTTTCAGGCACTAGGAAGTAATTATTATATCTCCGTTTTTCTCTTGATACCCAATATTATAAATGACAATGTCCAAATAAGCATATCTATGCTGTTTCTTTGTTTACAACTGCGCTAAATTGGTATCAGCAACGATCTAAAAAACATCTGACTCTCTCTCACTCCCTCTCTCTCTCTTTACACTGCCTTAATGCGCATTCACTGCTACATAAATTAACTCTTTTGTTTTTTGCACTACACCCCTCTAAAAAATTCAAAAACCTCGTCAAAATATGGCCCCCTCGAAAATTTAGATGGCGTAAATTGCACTTCTAGGTGGTACTCCAGTTCAAGAAGCCGCCCTTAACGATATTTCTCCCATTTGCAGCGCGGATAAAGTTTTAAATGGTCTCTCAATCATTGATTAGGTTTTAATGAAGTCTTAAGGAAGATAATGGCATACCAACAAAAAAGACTTAGGTGTTTGCTTTAGACCACAGGACAGAAGTGAAAACATGAACAAGGAGAGATTAATAATATGAAATATAAATTATAAATAATATCTCATTTACATTTAAATTTTGTAATTTTTGCTGAAAACAGGGGCACTTTTACAAGACAGGATAAAAGTCTCATCATTTTTACACAACTTGAGGTTTATCTCAATTTTTTTTCCTAATAAATATCAACTTAATTAATGCAGACTTAAAGCTTATCAAACTAAGAAGTTATCCTTAAATTCGGGTATTTTTAGTATAATCGGATGATGATAAATAAAAATCGTGAATAATTTATAATTAAAAAAAAAATAAAACTTAGCTTTTAGTTTAGCCGTTCAAAAATCCTTTTAAAATAGTTTTAACAATAACAAAGTTTATTTTCATTTAAATTTCATTTTATCTAGTTTACAGTCAAGCAATCTTTAATCATTTAAATTAAATATTTCTTTAATTATCGCTTCCAATTAAACAAAAAACACAAACTACTTTTAAAAAACACAAAACTTGGATTTCGTAATTTCCTGCTGAAAATTAGCCAAATGTTTATATGAAATTTTTTATAGCTCTTGAGGTGTGCTGGTGTGTGCGTGCGTGCGTGTGTACACACTGGGTGAGTGTAGGATAAAAAAAGCATCTGTTGCTGATATGCTCAGGGGTATTTCTTTAAGCTTTTATGGCTAAAAACTTAAATAATTGGTAATTGGTTGACTGTCGTGGATAATAAAGAGAAGAATAGTTGGGGTGGTCAGTCAGAAAGGAAGGCAAAAATAAATGATAATATTTATTTTTTACATATGCCGACGTTTCGACCTGAAGTTCAGGTAGTACTTCTTTTATTTCTTTGTTATTTCAGCTTTCTCAATTTCTTCCCTCCTTCCTTTCATTCCTTTTCTCTGTTTTTAACTCTTTATTATATTATACATTGTCTGTACATCTTGATAGACTTTACAATATCTCAATTTTCTATCTAACTACTCCATTCTCAATGTTTTAATTTTACTATTTATTTTCATTTCTTATATAACTTCATATTTCTTTTTTATGTTTTACATTTTATTCTAAGATTCCCATTGTAACACTTATGTCACCTTTTTTTATTATGCCTACTTCATCATTCTACACTTTGTAACGGTTATTATTATTTATCTCTTAGTTCTTAGTCATTATTCTAACAATTTTATTTTACTTTATATTTATTTATTTTATTTTTCCATTTTTTTTTTTATTTTTGTTAATTGTTTTACCATCACTACTTATGTTTCTCATACCTTGTTATCTGGTTATTCCCTGATGAAGGCCTGAACTTCAGGTCGAAACGTCGGCATATGTAAAAAATAAATATTATCATTTATTTTTGCCTTCCTTTTTGACTGACCACCCCAACTATTCTTCTCTTCATAAAAACTTAAATATTGATGTCATTGTATTTTTCTTGTATTCATCTTACAGAACTACTTTTCACCTTTCCAAGGAGAATTTCAAATCCATGAGACATTCCTCTAATTATTAAAAAAATGTTAATTTAGAGAATAATTTTTTTGCCTCAGTAGCTGTCACTGTTTGATTTCCAAAGTTCCAAACAGCTGACAGGGATGAGAACAAAGTTGTAATCATGTGAAATAAAGTGTTGAAATTTTATATTACTAATTTAAAAACAAAAACTGCCTTTAATTTACTTACTATAAAACTTCAATTCATTTTTTGACTTAAATTTATTCCAATTCCAAAGAGGATGAAATGCCGATCAATTACAATATGCAGGTCCAATTGTAATTCATATCTTCAAGAAAATTAGTTACCGTTTGGTTTTCTACACCATTTTTTTTTTCCTTTTTGCCTCCCTAACACGGCGTAGCGTAAGATAAAATTTTGAATAATAGCCCATTACAGAGAGGATGAAATTATGAACAATTCCCTCCCTTATATAATGCAGATCCGATTTTTAGTTTCTGAGATATTTCAATCCATATGTAAAAATATTTCAATTAATCGACTCTGGCTGACTTTACCCAAGCGTTACACAACGGAGATCTGACGGCTCAATCTAATTCACTTTCCACGAAAAATCGCGCCTAAAGAAGTTTTCATTACAATAATCAGTTTATTTTAAGCACACCGTCATTCGGCGTTTCTCGAGTTCAACTAACACGCCACCTAAACATAATCCTTGCTAACTTAGTATAAACCAGTGACGCAGCTGGGAGAGAAGCACTGGGATCTCCTGGGGTCCTGCCTTGGCTTCCATATTTGGGGGACAAAGCATGACTCAGAATCCACTGGGCGAATGTAAATATTGTACATAGGTGTGAATGTGTTTTATAATATTTCAATTTCATTTAGCTTTTCTCTATTATTTTTTTTAATTTTTTTTTTTCCTTCTCTCTTGTTTTATTTTATTTTTTTATTTTTACCTATGTATGTTTTTTTTTTTTTTTTTAAACTTTTATTATGATATTTACAACTGTATTAGTATGAATACATCAAGTAAATTTGTACAGAGAAATATTATTACATGAAACACGCTTGTTGAGAAACTACCCACTGGTAGCACTCTAATAATTTGTCTACATGAGAAGATCACTAGGCCATCTTCTTTTCAGACGCCTCGGTGGGTTATCAAGAGAGGAAGCAAGGTTAGAAACAAGAGGATTCGGATGGTTATGAAGTTTATTATGGAAGGATAGGTATCTGGATTTGGCCAAATCGGAAACATATGGAACATTGAGGTCTTTATGGATTATTTTATTAGTGACAAAGTAAGGACCATTGAGGATTTTACGAAGGATTTTGAATTGTAAGGATTGGATGCGAGAGGAATTCGATGGTTTAGTGGAGCCCCATAGCTCAACTCCGTAAGTCCAAATAGGTCTTATTATAATCATGTATATGAGTCTTTTGTAATTAGTTGGAAGATTAGAGCGTTTGTCTAGTAAGTGTTGGAGTAGTCGGAAACGTCGAGCGGTTTCTTGTCGTTTCAGTCTGGTATGAGGATTCCAAGTTAGACGTTTGTCCAAGTGAAGTCCAAGGTATCGGATTTGTTCAACAGGGATAAGTGGGGTATTATTAAAGGATACTGTGGGACATGAGGTCACAGGTTTACGTCGAAGGGTAAAGGTGATTTGATGGGATTTATTAGAATTTATTTTAATCCTCCAGTTTTGACACCATTCTTCAAGGCTTGTGATGTGCGATTGAAGAGTTTGGGATGCAATGGTTGGGTCATTATTAACGGATAGGACACATGTATCATCGGCATACGTGGTAATAACAGTGTTAGGATGGGTTGGGATATCAGCTGTATAAACTGTGTAAAGGATAGGACCTAGGATACTACCTTGAGGAAACCTATGTATGTTAAACTCTTTTTCTTTTATCTCTATTTTGGTTATCATTTGTATGTATATATTGTGTGAATGTTTAATGTAGCCCTAATATTAAAGCCCTCCAATGCGGCAGAATGTATTAATTTTCAAATAAAAAAATTACTTAGTATAAGGTTCTAATATAATAGGCTTTGCTCTCTCTCTCCCTCTCTCCCTCCTCTCCCCCTCGCTCTCTCTCTCTCTCTCTCTCTCTCTCTCTCTCTCTCTCTATATATATATATATATATATATATATATATATATATATATATATATATATATTTGTATATATATATATATATATATTTATATATAATTAATGTTATATATTTTCGCAGGCACCTGTTGGAACCGGACATAACGAAGCGGGCTACGATCAAACAAGTGGCGACCGCCAATTGGCTCAACTACGACGTGCCCCGCTACTCCTCATGATCAAGAACCGCCCAGGATGGACTCCCGTCTCCGAAGACACGGGGTTGCTAGAGTATAAGTTAAATAAGGAAACAAATAAAGTTTATCAGTCGAGAAGTTCAGAGTGTCTTTGGGATTGAAGCTGATTGGTATCACTACCGAGCGTCCATCTTGCTCCGTAACCTTAAGAAATGGTTGGCGCTTTCCGTCATAGTCGTAATATTTATTTATATCAAATTAAAATATTTAAAAAAAAATATCGAGTTAACCTTATCTCTTAAAGTTATATCATTTTTTTAAATATTATTATTATTATTTTTTTTTTAATCATTGTACTTAGTATTCTAACCTTGTTTGAGGTTGGAATACTTTGATAAGTGATGAACTATAAAAAAAAAAAAAAAAAAATAATATGAATTAAGATTCGTTCGTTATATTATACTTGTATCATATAATTATTGGAAATATAATATTTTTATATTTATTTATAAAATTATCTTCATATTCAGGTTTTAGTAATGATGTAAATTAAACCGTATTTTTTAAATAAGATCTTAATTTATTCTAAGAACAATTAATATTTTTATTTATTTTTTTTTTATTGATGTTATTTACAACCGTATTACAAACAAAAATACATTCAGTAAATGTGAACAAAAGAATATAATAACATGAAATCACTTGTTGAGAAACTACCCACTGGTAGCACTCTAAAAGTGTATTTACAAAAGGAGATCTCGAGGCCATCTTCTTTTCAGACGCCTCGGAGGGTTGTCAGGGATCGAGGAGGAAGCAAGGTTAGAAACGAGAGGGTTTGGATGGTTCTGAAGTTTATTATGGAAGGATAGGTATCTGGATTGGGCCAAATTTGGAACATAAGGAACATTAAGGTAGTTATGGATGATTTTATTTGTGACAAAGTAAGGAGCGTTGAGGATTTTACGAAGGATTGGGTACGGGAAGAATTCGATGGCTTAGTGGAGCCCCAGAGATCAACTCCGTAAGTCCAAATAGGTCTTATTGTAGTCATGTTTTTATTTATTTAGTAACAGAAATATTATTTTTGTTAGTTTTATTTTAGTTAATAACGAACTTTCTAACATTTTTCAATGTTAATCAAGTAGCTTATAGTCCGCGGTACAGACCCCTTTTTATGAAATTGTTAACATCCGCCTGAAACTTCGGAAATAGTTTTATCTCATCATAACCTACAATTATTTTATATGCGAAAATATTCGGAATTGAGGGATTTTCAATCTGAAAATTGGCAAACTTTGTCTATTTAATTTTTTTTTTATTATTTATTGAAAGATATTACAATCTGTCTCTAGGACATTTATAATAGTGTTTACAGATCACATTCACACTCTATGTACAATAAATAAAATAAATTATACAGAAAAATGATTATATATACACAATAAATAAGAATAAAATAACCTAAAAATAAATAAATAAAAATAACACATACATACCTCTATTTAATTAGGCACTAAAAACACTTAAATACTCATTTGCTTTCCACGAGAAGCGTAAGATAATTTGAGCAAAAAATCCAGAAAAAAGGTGTTCTTCAAAAATATTAAGCCGTTTGGAGTGACCAAAACTCCTAAAATGTGAAAATAACGAGGATATATTGGCCAAACGGTCCAATATTTTCGTAAGCCACATTTTTTCTCTATTGTATGTTCAAATTATCTTATGGTTCAAGTAGAAAGCAAATTCGAGTTTTTAGTACCTAAATAATGAATTTTCCCTTTTTGAAATCCCCAAATTATCGTGTCTTTCTCTAAAGAACCTTTAATTTGGTTTATTATAAATAATAAATATTTCTCATTGTTAGGAGTTATGAAAAAAAATGCTAAATATAACTTTTGAAAGAAGTTGATAATTAAATATGGAAGGAAAAAAGAAAAATACTTATCTAGGCCGAAAATAATACGAATAATATATCGAATAATAATACGAAGATATAGGTATAATATAATATATCGTTGGAAAGCGGTTCTCTTGGATACAGCCAGAATTACGAGAAAGTTTTTAAATGTCTTAAAAAAAAAATTATAACTGCATATGGTTGGACTTGTCCCCCACCTCTTGTTTTGAATCCGCAAAAGCGATAATTAAGATAATCATAATTATATATATATATATATATATATATATATATATATATATATATATATATATATATATATATATATAAAACGATAATTACTTTGGAATAAAAATAAAGTAACTACCTATAAGAAATGATGTTTAAGGTTCTATTAAATGTAATTCGCGAACAATAATAATTTTGGGATATTTTTTTCTTAAGACATAGATATATTTTACCATTTTGGGGCGCTTCAGCCCGAAAGCTCTCCTCCCCCTCTTAGATTCTTCTATGTATATAATGAAAATTGAAACATAGCTGAGAAAAGGAATTATATATATAAGAGTTAGGTAGGTCTTAAAGGATACTGAACGCCTGGACCGCTTCTTCCGACTGAGAGATTAGAAAGCCAATCTCGTTATTATTTTATATCCACTTTTTCCTCGTCTAATTCACTTCTTTCTCTTCCATTCCCTTATTGGATTTACTTCTTTCATTTTCCTTTTTTCTCGAGATTAACTTTTATAAATCGCAATCTGGTAAATGGTAGAGAAAGCACGTCCATTTTCTTTCACTGAATTGTTTAAGCGAATTATTCAACAATAATAATTTAATAATAATCATATTCTAATTCAAGGTATATATAGTTGTAGTTTATTTGTCAATAAAACAACAATAGTTAAGAATAACATATTAATTATAAATATTGGGTTGTCCTGAAAATAATGAAGGATTTTGGTTTAAAAAGGAGAAAAGAAAGATTTACAACTGTTTTATTTAATCAAAATAATCTCCACTTCTAGCAATACATTTCTGCTAACTCGGAATAGAATTTCTCATCTTTAGAATTGATAAAATCCGAAAACTCTTTTATTAATTCCATTTGTCCATTAAATTTTTGTCACGTAGTAGTTGTGGTCCAGGTGTCTAAAAAAAGGAAATCCGAAGGCGAGAAGTCAGGAGAGTAGGCGTGTGTGGCAGATGTGGCAGAGTTTCATATCTAAGCTGCAGGCAGGAGTTTTTGTGACGTCACTCATGAGATATGTGGCCGGGCGTTGTTCATATGAAATGAAAAATAATTTTATTCTGGGACTCAAGTCACCTTAGAATAATAGCAGAGGTTACAAAATATGTACCTAAGTCTGGCATGTAAGTATTATTTAAATATATACAAAAAATGTCTTGGAATTTGTAAGCACACACATATATATATATATATATATATATATATATATATATATATATATATATATATATATATACATACAAATAAAGAATAGAATAGAATAGAAAATAATTTTATTCTGGGACGAAGTCCCATCAGAATAACAAAAAAGTACAGAAATTAAAATTCTACATCTGGCCAGATAAAAACAAACATAAAAAGTAAAGTAAATCTATATAAAAAACTCTCGAAACCATACTAAGATACTTAAAACTATGTACAATGGTAAAATATAAATAAACCCTTTTAGAAAAAATACAAAAAATAAATAAATAAATAAATAAATGTAAATTCTTCTTAACAGTAAAATCTGTTTTTCTGTTGAAAAAAAAATATAAATTAAAAAAATATGTAATCCGTACATTATTACAGTAAGGCTCGAAATCGGTTTTGTACCAAATATAAGCTCCTGTCATGCTCAAATACTGGGGTACCGTTGGATTCAGAATTTCACGGAGGATTAGCGAATCGTATTCTCCAGTTTTGTTTTTCTTTCTAAAATAAATATAGTCGATACAAACATTTTGCTAGGCTTCAATACTGGAACGGTCGATGTAGATCGACGTATCTAGATGACGTATCGATGTAGTCTGTAGATCGATGCGGGACAAATTGGATCTTGAAGATTTTGATGTGTACAGCAAGACCCGGATAGTTCCTCTGGAACTATCTGATCATGCGTTTTTAAGCCTCAAAACGTACTATTTTCGAGATAACGCAAGGCATGGGGTTCGCATCCACACAACCTTACGTTAATTGTAGTACTGTCATTGGATACATGTATCATTTCGGTTACTTGAGGTCTCTATGACCGAGAGGGGGAGTTTATATTATTTATCCATGGTGTTTTTGATCGGCAAGCCATATCATCGTCAATTCTTCACCAAATCTCAAGGTTGAGCCACCAATTTCGAAGGCTTCCTTCTCCTTCAGGCGGGCAAAATAGTCCAATTACCCCGAAAATTCTTTTATGAAAAAAAACTTTATTTGCGAATAACTAAAAAATTACACACTTTTCCCTTTGTCATTCCCATGATTGTATAAAACGTTACTAATTTTCTAAAAAAGGAAAAACAAATCATTGAAATCGGACAATTTTTCGCAAAGATACAGCTTATTGAAATTTGTAAATATGTTGGTTTCAAACATTAATGAAGATTTAAATTAATTTTGTTTCGTTTGTGGATTATATTTATCAATAAAGTAAAAATTGATTTCTTTATCTTTTGATACGTTGCGTTATTTTATTTTCTTATTAATTTGGCATTTGATAACAATGTGCTGTGCGAATTTTTCGCACGGGCCTACTAGTAGAATAAAGTTGAGTACTCTGTATTTGAAATAAACTCACTTTTATTTCACTACACACTTTAAACAGAGGTTTTAGACATTTTGACTTTTTATAACAATAATGACAATTATTCACATATGCGTATTTCAACAATATGTGCGTTTATTAAATATTTATAAATTAAAAATCACTTTTGATCGCTTCCCTAACAATATGACAATATTCCCTAACTCACATGGCCGCCATTTTGGTATTAAGCGGCTATATTTTTCTATACATTTTTCTCATCAGGCCTGTGGATATGATCAATTTATAAGCCTTCTTTGCCACGGTCTGCCGGACTATTTGTTCTTTTTTTTTTTTTTTTTTTTTTTTTTTTTTTTTTTTTTATTGAGTATTATAACAATCTGTCTGTTCGACATTGGTTATAGTGAGGTAGGATGACATTCACACCATATGTACAAAAAAATAAAATAAATAGAACAAAATAATAATCAAAAGTATATACAATATACAATAAAATAAAATAACCTGAAAAATAAGAAAATTAAAACTAAGGAAAAAAAAAAAAAATAACATGCATACCTATATACAATCAGGCGAGGGAACTCCAGGAGAACCCTGCGCTACTCTTCCAACCGCGTCACTGGTACTAAAGCCAGCGGAGATTGGTCGAGAGC